CAAAGCCAGGCATGGTGACTTATTCCTGTTGTCCCCAATACTCGGGAGGCTGAGGCAAGAGGATCAGTCGATCCCAGGACTTCAATACTGCAGTGTGCTGTAATGGCCCTGCACTTAGCTCTAGCCTGGGTAACATAGCTAGACCTGTCTCTTTAAAAAAAAAAAAAAAAAAACGCAAATCAAGTTATAATCCAGGCTCTACATAGATAATGGGTACACCAGGATAGGGATAGATGTGGTTCCTCCGTGTCCTCAGAGCTTTAAACTAGAGAAGAGAGAATAATCACAATGAACAGTAAAATGCTAAGGATTTTGAAGGTATATTCAAAACGCATTTGGAACTGAGTTCAGATAAAAAGTTAATTTTTCTTAGAATCATATTCGTGAAGGCATCATAGAGAAGGTACTATTATTGGAGCAGCACCCAGAGACAACATAGATTTTTCTGGACTCTGGGAGGCAGAGCTACAATTATGATAGTAAAAATAAACTAAGAGGGAACAAACAGGACATTCAGTTCATCCGTTCAGGCATGCTCTTAGGTGCTTTGAACTCATATAAATAATTCCTTTCATTTTTCATCTAACCATGTCCACTCGCACCCTGCCTGCCTCCCCATTAAAAGGGAGCAATATAGGCTGGGCACATGGCTCACATGTCTAATCCCAACACTCTGGGAGACTGAGGTGAGAGGATCACTTGAGGCCATGAGTTCAAGACCAGCCTGTGCAATATAATAATACCATATCTCCACAAAATCTAAGGAAACAATGCAGTCATCCCTTTGTATCCTGGGGTATTGGTTCCAGGACATCCATGGATAACAAAATCCATGCATAGTCAAGTCTCTTATAAAAAGTCATGTTGTATTTGCATATAACCTAGGCCAGGCATCCCCAAACTACGGCCCGGGGCCGCATACGGCCCCTTGAGGCCATTTATCCGGCCCCCCGCCACACTTCAGGAAGGGGCACCTCTTTCATTGGTGGTCAGTGAGAGGAGCACAGTATGTGGCGGCCCTCCAACGGTCTGAGGGACAGTGAACTGGCCCCCTGTGTAAAAAGTTTGGGGACACCTGACCTAGGCACATCTTCTCATATACTTTAATCTGTAGATTAACACCTAATGCAATGTAAGTGCTATATAAATAGCTATTATACTGTGTTGGGTTTTTTATTTTTTGTTTTGTCCTTTCTTAATATTTTTAATCCAAGGTTGATTGATTCTGCAGATAAAGTGGACTGGAAAAGTACAGTCATCCCTAGGTATACAAGAGGGATTGGTTCTAGGACCCCTGCCAAAATCCACACACATATTCTAGTCCCCTAGTCTGCCCTGTGGAACCCGTGTATAGGAAGAGTTGGAGTTCTATATGTATGGATTCCACATCCCAAGAATACAGTATTTTCTATCCGAGTTTGGTTGTTGAATCTGCTGACATGGAGGGTGGGCTGTATTTATTGAGAAAAAATTAGCATATAAGTGGACCCTCAAAGTTCAAACCTATGGTGTTGAAGTGTCAATAGTACATTTTTATTTTTTTTACCAAAAGTTGTTCTCTGTAATTATGAAAGAGTAAGAGAAATGAACCCTAAAATTGGATATGTTTTGTTAATGTTCATTCTTATCCCTTAACAGTTACTATGCAAGTCAGAAGAAAACATTTGAAATTAATCCCAGACACCCACTGATCAGAGACATGCTTCGACGAATTAAGGTAGTGTTACAGGAGTCCTCTTGCTTGTCTTTTAATTTAAATACTTTGTATCTTTTAATATTAATCTGGTGTATCTTCTTGCATCTCAGGAAGATGAAGATGATAAAACAGTTTTGGATCTTGCTGTGGTTTTATTTGAAACAGCAACACTTCGGTCAGGATATCTTTTACCAGACACTAAAGCATATGGAGATAGAATAGAAAGAATGCTTCGCCTCAGTTTGAACATTGACCCTGATGCAAAGGTTTGTATCCCCAACCTTTCCATGGAGGCTGGCGGGCTTTCTTCGTTTCTGTTCTTTCAGAATAGGCTTCTCATGATTGAGGGATGTAGCTTTGAGACATTTGCCTAATTTCTACCTTTTGAAATAATTGTATTGAATGTTTGAATCCCTCTAGTGTTGGACACTGCACTAGAAACTAAGTCTTCCTTCTATGTCCTCTTTCCGTTTTGCCTGCCTCCCTTCGTTAGCTTGACTATTCATTCTAGTTAGAGGATTTACTCTCTGGTTCTGAATAAATAGATGTGACATTAATTAAGATTTTATACATTGAAATGAGCAAAGTGGCAATAAATCCACAGCATTAATGGGCCCATAAATGTTGCATTTAGGTGGAAGAAGAACCCGAAGAAGAACCTGAAGAGACAACAGAAGACACAACAGAAGACACAGAGCAAGATGAAGACGAAGAAATGGATGCAGGTACAGATGAAGAAGAACAAGAAACAGCAAAGGTATAGCATATCAAGAATGTGACTTGCATTTTCAGTTCTTATAAAGTTAGGCAGAGTTTTAGTTCTGACAAAGTTAGGACTGTGTAACTTACAGAAGTCAGACTGTGAGCATTTAAATCATTTCTTTCATGCATGAACCTTCTGTGAGCTAGGGGTTTTTTTTTTTTTCTGCTTTTAATATCTTCTGGGTTTTTTTTTTTTACAGGAATCTACAGTTGAAAAAGATGAATTGTAAATTACACTCTCACCGTTTGGATCCTGTGTGGAGAGGGACTTTGAAATTGAAGTCATTTCTTTTGGGAGAAACTTGTTTTGGATGCCCCCCACCAGTCCCTTTCTCCCCTGCACTGTAAAATGTGGGATTATGGGTCACAGGAAGAAGTGGGTTTTTTAGTTGAATTTTTTTTAACATTCCTCATGAATGTAAATTTGTACTATTTAACTGACTATTCTTGATGTAAAATCTTGTCATGTGTATAAAAATAAAAAAGATCCCAAATACCCAGTGTCTTGACTGTCTTGCACAGAACTGCCTAATACTTGGCTGAATTTTTTTTTTTTTTTTTTTTTAATCACGTCTTTGGTTCTTTTTACTAGAAAAGTGACTCAGGCTTATGAAGATTTTTTTTTTTTCTTTTTTCTTTTTTTTTTTTTTTTTTTTTTTTTTTTTTTGAGAGACAGAGTCCACCACCACTCCCAGCTAATTTTTGTATTTTAGTAGAGATGGGGTTTCACCATCTTGGCCAGGCTGGTCTTGAACTCCCGACCTCCACCCCCCTCAGCCTTCCAAAAGATTTTTAAAAAAAAACAAAGGTTGAGCCAGCCATAGTGGCACAGACCTCTGGTTCCAGCTCTTGAGGAAGCTGAGGCAGAAAGATTATTTGAACTTGGGAGCTGTTGAAAAACCAAAGACTTTTAAAAAGTCTCCCACAGGGAGAAGACAGAATTTCCTTAAAGATTTCCAAATGTATGCAGATACTCCCCCTTTCACAGGGTGAAGCTTAAGAACATGGGCTAGATTTAGTGACTCCTCCTAAAGAAAAGAGTATATAAAGGGAAAAAGAGTAACTTTGCAGTGGAGAAACTTGGCAGACTTACCCAAGTGATCAATGTTAATATCACCAGTGATGTGTGCCCCCAATAGGATGTAAAGTGTACTGTACTTCTGTGATTTCCAAAAACCTGTAACCTGAATCTAATGAGAAAAAGACATATTTGGAATATGTGAAGAGTATTCTTCAAATTTTCCAGGTCATGGAAAAACAGGCTGAGAAGTAATCATGGATGGCAGAAGACTAAGGATACAAGACAACCACTAATAAATGCAGTGGGGTACCCTGGAAATAAAACGGTGTTAAGTGGAAAAACTGGTGAAATCTGAAAGTCCAGAGTCTAGAGCAGGCGTCCCCAAACTGCGGCCCCCTGAGGCCATTTATCCGCCCCCCTCCACCGCACTTCAGGAAGGGGCACCTCTTTCATTGGTGGTCAGTGAGAGGAGCACAGTATGTGGCGGCCCTCCAATGGTCTGAGGGACAGTGAACTGGCCCCCTGTGTAAAAAGTTTGGGGACGCCTGGTCTAGAGTATAGTTGACTATTGTATCAATATTGGGTTTTTTTGTTTGAGACAGTATAACTGTCACCCAGGCTGGAGTGCAGTGGCGTGATCTTGGCTCAACTGCAACCTCCACGTCCTGGGTTCAAGCAGTTCTCCTGCCTCAGCGTCCTGAGTAGCTCCAGCCTGGGAAACAAGTGAAATTCCATCTCAAAAAAAAAAGAAAAATGTACTCTTGTTTAGGGGACAATTTTTAAATTTCACTAGTTTTTTACAGCCAACTGAAATGGTAGTCTTAAGTTTTTGTTGTTTTTACTATGGGCTAGAGAGAGATGTCTTAGCTGTATATTCAAGGATGATGTGTATATTAGAAAATTTTGCAAAATTAATTTATGTACTATAGAGTTTCATTAGAGACTACAGTTTTTCTGATGATCTAGTACTCTATGGACTACTGCTCAGGCTTCCCTACCCTCTACCTTAAGGTATTTTTCTAGAATTAGTTTGCAATAATCATTACCAGCCTCCCTGCTAGAGTGTATATCTTCTGAAAACCACCCTGCTTTTCCCTTTATAGTAGAATGGCAGCTCAGTTACAGAAACACGCTATAATTAAGGTATAGCTTCCTTTCATGATATAGGCTTGTATTAATTGCTACTTGTAATGTTTCCCATTTTGGGACCACTATGCATTACCATTGTTAATATTGCTATGATACACTTGTAGAAATCAAAGCCATCAGATCACAATGAATTAGCGATATCTGACACTTTTGCTCCTCAGAATCCTACAATTACAGTTTCTAAATTTCTGTTGTTCCCAGCAGGAAACCATCACACTCCCTCAATTTTTGGTAAAAAATAAACAGCTCAATCATACCTATTTTGCATAAAAACTGTTTAAGTGGCCTAATTTAATTACCAAACAGATTGCAACTGGTCTATCTTGGTCTTTTTTTAAGTTAAAACACATCATTAGTAGGGGATAATATTGCACTGCTTTTAATTTTTAATGCATATATGTTACAGATTTGTTCCTCCAAGAAACACTGAAGTGCAGTTTAGTGGCGGGGGTTGGGGGGTGCGGACGGACCGTGTCTATTAAGGCGCACGCTTGGATCAATACCTGTAGAAGGAAACGGGACTGAGCAGAGGGAGAAGTTAAGCTGCAACGCAGATCCAAAGACAATGTCTATGAAGCCCAGAGGGAGTTGTGGGCCCATCAGAGTTGCCCACCCACTCGTGCTGACATGGCCAGGCCTATTCTACTCTCACCTCCAACAGTCATTGCATTTGGGCCCCTTCAGGAGGCATGACTTTAAGCGAGGCCACTGTAGCCACGGCAATCCTTCCAGAAACCGGCCATTGAAAGCTGCTGGCCTGCCTGATGCTAGGGCAACAAGCCTTCGTTAGGGAGTCTGGATGGCACATTTCCATGACCACTACAATGTATATTTTTCACAACGGGGATCAACTTCAAAGAAGGAAGAAAATGTATCTTAGTGGAAGTCATTTAGAACCAGCACTTAATGAAATAAAGATGGCATTTTCACTCGAGGTAAATTTTTACTTTAATAACCGTAAAACTGATTTTTCACCTTCATGATGTCATTATTTTACCGGAGACTTGGATTCAAATCATGACTCTCTCCCTCAGTAGCAGTAGCCAGACCACTTACTCTGTACCTGTAAAAGGAAGGTATGCGGTGCTTCTAAAATGTCCACTGAGTGATGGTCTATCCTCCTCTTAAGCACAAACTGGCCCTAAAGGGCAGGTCTTTTCTTCACGCAAAAGGTGAGCAATGCCCCTGAGCTTTCATTCTAAGTGATGAGGCAATAATGATTTTGTATCCACAAAATGTATTATCAAAGCTCACCACTTTGGTGTTCATTTACTAAAGTTAGTACAGATTCAGAATTTGAAAATATCAGTTTAGCAATGAGAAATAACTCCACTTAGCAAATTCAATTAATGAAACTAGTTCAGTTTTAAATGATTTTTTTAATGTACATGAAATAAAGACAACCCATATAATGGACTTATAAATATTCTATTTCACATTATATTCAGGACTAAACATCTTCCAAACCATATTCTTGAAGCTGATGATATGTGCTTTGGCAGTTTTCAGGAAATATCAAACTGTAATTAAATTTCAGCATATCAGTTAAACGTCCACTGAGCACCTCCTCTTGCAGTTAGCATTGGACTAAGTGCTTAAGGACAAGTAGTTTGATGCAATAAATTAAGAAACACAAATTTAAGACTTATAATATTATTTGCAGAATTCTTGGCATAGTTATTTAAGTTCCTCCTGTTGAGAAACTTGAGGTTTGTGTTTTCTTTCTTTCAGTCCCAAAAGCTCTGTTTTGAGTTCTCCACGCTTCGGTGGAATTTCAGGTATTGTCTGCAAACAAAACAAAACAAAAAACATAGATGTCTAACCCTTACTTAGGCTGTAATTCAATGTAACCTGAAAGACTTTAAAGAGTAAAACTTAACAAAAAGTCCCCCTGCATGCTACTCAATGATAAATCTTTATCATGAGAACTTCTGGTTGATCTAAGCCCCTTGAGTCTATCATCCTGGCAAGGTCTTAAGTTTTGTACTGCAAGACTCATACAGGGACAGGTGGCATCAGAATCAACTGACAGATTCAGAGCTTTGAATAAAACTTAGCACATTTTCACCAACTACTGACTCTCTACCATGTGCCTGGCATAGAAAACAGGCTTTAAGAATTTATTTACTCAAAAATACTAAGTGCCAATTATATACAAAGCATAAAGCAGTGTGCAAAAATACAAAATCCTTGCATTCAAGGAAAGTATTCTCAGAGTTGTGCATCTATCACCACGATAAATTTTAGAACATTTCACCCCAAAAAGAAACCCCATACTTATAGCAGTCATTTTCATTTCCATATAACCCTCCCCTGAAGAGCCACAGACAACTATTAGTCTTTTTGTCTAAATAGATATGCCTGTTCTGGATATTTTATAAAAATGGAATCATATAATCATATGATTCCATTTTTATAAGAAGCACTCCTTTTTAAAGAAGCCCTCTGTGACTGGCTTCTTTCATGCAGCATAATGTTTTCAAGATTCATCCATGTTGTAGCTTGTATCGGTATTTCATTTTTTATTACTGAATAATGCTCCACTGTGTAGATATACCGTCTATCCATTCATCAGCTAATAGGTATTTGGATTTTCCACCTTTTGGATATTATGAGTAACACTGCTCTGAACATTCATATACAAGTTTCGTGTGGATATGTGTTTTCATGTTTATTGGGTATAAACCTAAAAACAGAATTGCTGCATTATATGGTAACTCCATGTGCTTTTTTTTGTTTGTTTTTTTGAGACGGAGTTTCACTCTTGTTGCCCAGGCTGAAGTGCAATGGTGTGATCTCAGCTCACTGCAAGTTCCACCTCCCGGGTTCAAGCAATTCTCCTGCCTCAGCCTCCCAAGTAGCTGGGATTACAGGCATGCGGCACCACACCTGGCTAATTCTGTATTTTTTTAAGTAGAGACAGGGTATCTCCATGTTGATCAGGCTGGTCTCAAACTCCCAACCTCAGGTGATCTGCCTGCCTCAGTCTCCCAAAGTGCTGGGATTACAGGCATAAGCCACTGCCCCCAGCCAGTAATTCTATGTTTAAAGGCTTGAGGAACTACCAGGCTTTTCTGAAGCCACTGCACCATTTTATACTCCCATCAGCAATGAATGAGGCTTCCAATTTCTTCACATCCTTGACAACACTTGTTATGATCTGTTTTACTATAACCATTGTAGGGGATATGATGTGGTATTTCACTGTGGTTTTGATTTGCCTTTCTCTAGTGGCTAATGATGCTGAGCATCTTTCTGTGTGCTTACTGGTATTCAGAAGATGACTTCAGAAAAAGACATGAAGGAGGATGAGGGAGCCAGCCATGCAGTTACCTAGGAGCATTTCAGGCAGATGGAACCACAAGTACAGAGGACCTAAGGCAGGAGTGTGTCTTCACGTTCAAGGAGAAGCAACGCTGTCAGTATAGCTGGTACAACATATTCAAGGACATGTTAAGAAGAGACAAGGGCAGAGAAAAAAGGGAGTGGGGAGATAAAGTCTCCAGTGTTTTCTACTTTGAAATGGGAAGACACTGGAGAGTTCTGAGAAGAGTGGCATGGCCTCACTCAAGTGGACAGAGATGACAACGGTGGCTTTATTGAGAATAGACCACAGGAGACCAAGAGTGGAAGGCAGAAGACAGGTCAGAAAGCTATTATAATAACAGGTGAAAGCTGACTGACAGTAGATTGAATTGGGTAGTAGCAACAGAGGTGGGGAGAAGCAGGCACATCTGGATGTACTTTTCAGGTTAATCAAGTGGGATTTGCTGATACGTACAGTATGAGAGAGGAATTAAGGACGACTCCTAGCCTTCAACTTGAACTAGAACAGAGTCATCTCCTTTGCTATTCCAATGAGCTGAGCTGGACAACTAAACAAAGCACCTGTAGCAGTGTTCCCCAAGATAGCACTGAGCACAAGTCTAGGCAGTCATCGTGGTCTCCTCTGCTCTTGACTCTGCCCAGACCTTCCAGCTCTCAGACTGAAAGACTTGTGATCCAGCTTTGTTACAAAAAACAAAGTGGTTGACAATAGTGACAGTAATTGCTGGAGCAATACCAAAAGACATAGGTAAAGAACATATAAATGTTAATAAAGCACACTGCTTCCTATACACAGTCAGCTACCTGGGCCTTCAAGTTCCAATATAGATATCCCATTGCCAATGTCACCACCCAATCAAACTGAGGTGGCCTGAGACTCTTCAGTATGACCCTTCTAAAGACTCTGGCTTCATTCTATCTCCTCCCAAGGTACAGGTAGCTGCTGCTGTAACAACCCTTGCACACTCCCAATTATAATGAAATGGGTGAATCAAACGTCAACTTCCCAAGGTCAAATCACAGGCATTCCTTCTTTTGCAAGGCCTGCCTGATGTCTATTCCTGCACAAGCTATAGTCTAAACTGCATTTCTGTGAAAGGTTCTTGTCACTTTGTGTCCACTAGGTATCCTTGATGCTCAGTAGAACCCTTTTTAAAAGAGAAGCACTTTGAAGTGGTAAGAAAGAGCTCTTGCAGCACTGTCTATACAAAAACTACATACTACCTAAATGTCAATAAGGGATTGATCAAATAATATATGTCATAGCTATATTATGAAATACTATGCAATAGCTAAAAGGAAGATTTAATATATACAAATGTCTATCTATGTAGATATTAACCAAAACAGGGAAGCTGCAAAGAAATGTGTACATGAACTCCTATTCACATGAAGGAAAGACACTCTACAAACTGTATGTGCACATGCATGCACAGGTGCATTAGTCCATGCTGCATTGCTATAAAGGAATACATGAGACTGGGTAATTTATAAAGAAAACAGGTGTATTTGGCTCATGGTTCTGTACAAGCATGGCACCAGCATCAGTCCAGCTTTTGGTGAGGCCTCAGAAAGCCTTAACTCATGACAGAAGGCAAAGTAGGAGCAGGCGTGACACATGGCAAGAAAGGGAGTAAGAGAGAGAGGCCAGGCTCTTCTAAACAATCAGCTCTCATGAACTAGTAAAGTGAGAACTCACTCATCACCACAGGGAGGGCACCAAGCCATTCATGAGGGATTCGTCCCCATGACCCAAATACCTCCCACCAGGCCCTACTTCCAACACTGGGGATCATATTTCAGCATGCAATTTGGAGGTGTCAAATACCGATATCAGTGGGCATTCAACAACAGTGAGAGGTAGCGAAGGATATACATCAAACAAGAAACAGTAGTTACATGTGGGGAGCAGATGGGAGAGAGGGGGTTATAAGAGGAGATTTTCACTTTTTACTCTACATACTTAAATTCAGTTTGAGTGTTTTACAATGGTACTGAATTATTTTATTCAGTAAATAACAGGAGCAAAAGAGAGACATACCAAACAGAAAGCTTGGGCTTCAGATCCTTAAATCAATGTCTCATTAAGCGATGTGACCTTGAGAAATCACCTTCACTTTTCTGAACCTGTTTCTCAAAATTGTAATGACAATTAACTGATATTAAAAATACAAATGGGCCAGGCATGCCTGTAACCCCAGCACTTTGGGAGGCAGAGATGGGCGGATCACTTAAGGCCAGAAGCTCAAGACCAGCCAGTCCAACACAGTGAAACCCCATCTCTACTAAACAATAGAAAAAATTAGCCATGCATGGTAATGTGTGCCTGAAATCCCAACTATTCAGGAGGCTGAGGCATGAGATTTGCTTGAACCTGGAAGGCAGAGGTTGCAGTGAGCTGAGATCACGCCACTGCACTCCAGCCTGGGCGACAGAGTGAGACATTGTCTCAAAAAATAAAAATAAAACACAAGTGCAAATATGAATGGAGCCAGGCACAGTGGCTCACACCCATAATCCCAGCACTTTCAGAGGCCAAGGTGGGGACTGCTTGAAGTCAGGAGCTGGAGACCAGCCGGAGCAACACTTTGAGACCTTGTCTCTACAAAAAAATTTTAAAATTAGTCAGGTGTGATGGTGCACATTTGCCATCCCAGCTACTTAGGAGGCTGAGGCAGGAGGATTGATTGAGCCCAGAAACGTGAGGCTGCAGTGAGCTCTGATTGCACCATTGTACTCCAACCTGGGCAAGAGAATAACTGTCTTTAATTTTTTTTTAATTATTTTTCAATAAAAAATTCTTTAAAAAGAAACCCAAATGGTTGATTTTCTGTAAGTGTTACCTGTCCAGGCAGAGTCCACACAGAAATGACTGCTCCCAACCCTGTGCTCCAACCCACTATTCACGCCTATGACATAACAGCATTCTTGTAATTATTTGCACCATACTCTCATATCCACCTCCCTGTGACTATACTTTCTGAAAAGAACCTTTAATTCCAGTTCCTAATTCAATGAATGCTTATTAAAATCAATTTAAATTTCTCCCTCCTTTGAATACCTATATTCACTCATCCTTCATTCAACAAGTATTTATTGAGTGTCTGCTACATCCCAAGCAGTTGAGATACAAGAGTGAACCAGACAGACACAGTCTGGAGCTTACATTCTACTGAAGCAAACTAACAAAGAACAAATAAATAAACAAAACAACTGCAAACTGCAGACAAGTGCTCTATGGAAACAAAGGATGAGACAAATCTCAGAGGAGGAATTCTTTGGGAGCTAGCCTAGGGACCCTCATTGCTAATGGAGAGACTTGAGCTAAGACTTGACAGTTTTGAAGAAGGAAACTAGGCCAAATTGTGGGGGGCGGTGGGAGCACGCCAAGGATAAGAAAAAGAATGGCCCCGAAATGGGGACAGGTTTAATGAGTTTGAGAAACAGCAAGGAAGCAGGCGTGAATGTTAAGAGGAGGAAGAAGTGGTCAAATGGTAGCAGATAGGCCACAGGTAGCAGCGGCCAGACTGTGTAAGACCTCACAGGCCATGCATTGCCCTCGATGCAATGGGATGCCATCCGAAGGTTTTGGGCCCAGGGCAAATGTGATCCTAATTTCGTTTAAGATCACTTTTGCTGCCACGAGGAGAATAGAGTGGTCCAGGAGCATTTGCATTGCTATAAAGGAATGCCTAAGCCTGGGTAATTTACCAAGAAAAAAGGTGTATTTGGCTCGTAAATAAAATATGAGCCGTCCCGCACTCACCAGGTCTGGTCGGTAGTACCTGTGCACCACTTCTGCCCCCGCGCACATGGCCAGGAAGCTGGCTGCGAGCATTTTCACGTAGGTGGACATGGGCACGCCCGCGGGCATGGTCGGTGGGCTGGACGGGGAGGGAAGGGGTGGTGTCAAAGGTTTCGGCTCGCGACTACACCGAGTCGGGGCTGAGGCGCTCCAGTGAGCGCTGGACCCGAGACACATGGCGGAGGGGGTGCGGGACGTGCGCGGTCACGACACCTGGGTTCCCGCCCAACCCCGAGCTTCGGTGTCCTCATTTACGACCTGAGGTCACGGAGAGGACGGACGCCACTTCCAGGCCGAGGCCCAGCCCCAGTCGTTTACCAGTGAAGGGCGCCGGCCTGCGGCATTAAAGGGAGCTCTGGCTCAGCAATCGGAAGAGCGACGCCAGGTGGTTTCCCCGCGCCCCTTCTGCCTCTAGGAGAAGAGCTAACTGTGGACATGTGCTCGCTTCTACTAAAACTGGAACTGTGGACTTCACTCCCCTCTGCCCCTATGCACACGCTCTAGAAGAAACTTTACCGGGAACTGCAGGAGTGCTGGGCAGCGGGTCTAAGGGCTGACGGAGTGGACGGAGCAGACGGCGAGCGGACCGGACCCAAAGTACAGGGACCCCGGGCCGCAGCGGAAAGGAAAGCGGGAGCGCTGCCGGCGCAGGCACGTGACCCCGGCGGAAGTGGGACGCTGGGAGAAAGCCAGTGACTTTTTTTTTTTTTTTTTTTTTTTTTTTTTTTAAGCAATTTTCACACTTTCTCAGGCCCAGGCTTCCAGCGCCTCCATCACTCTCCCTATAGTTAAATTTTCCTGGCAGATGTGGAGTCTAAGGCCAGGCCCTGTACTATTATTACATCGTTCGTTCTTTGGCGCACGCAAATGAAATTGCACGCCTGTACCACTTTTATAGGAGGGGTGGAGTCCCACTTTGAGCATTTGCGTGCTTTTAAGGGAGGCCACCCTCCAGTGAGTGAAGTTAAAGGCACTCATTGTCCCTGTATCTGGAGTCTTTGGATACCCGAAATAGAGCCACATCCACACAGCTGTGTCCTTATGACCTGGTGCTACTGGGAAAGGGGAAATTTGAAACCGACATAATTTAATCCAGGCATTTTTAGATTGTTGTGATCATGGATTGATTTTTAAGTCAAAGGTTAGTGCAAGGGCCGGGCACGATGGCTCACGCCTGTACTCCCAACACTTTGGGAGGCCGAGGCGGGTGGATCACTTGAGGACAGAAGTTCGAGACCAGTCTCGCCAACATGGCAAGCTGGCAAGACCTCATCTCTACTAAAAAAAATTAAATAAAATACAAAAATTAGCTGGGCGTGGCGGCAGGCGCCTGTAATTCCAGCTACTCTGGAGGCCCAGGCGGCGGAATCTGTTGAACCCAGGAGGCAGAGGTTTCAGTGAGCTGAGATAGTGCCACTGCACTCCAGCCTGGGCAACGAGGCAAGATTCCATCTCAAAAAAAAAAAAAAAAGGGGGCAAGGCTGAATTCTGAAATATTAAACTTGTATGTATGACAAATCACAATACTCATAATATTTATTTGAGATGGCGTCTCGCTCTGGTCGCCCAGGCTGGAGTGCAGTGGCACAATCTCGGCTCACGGCAACCTCCGCCTCCCGGGTTCAAGCAATTCTCCTGCCCCAGCCTCCCGAGTAGCTGGGACTACAGGCGCACGCTGCCACGCCCGGCTATTTTTTTGTATTTAGTAGAGACGGGGTTTCACCTTGTTGCTCAGGCTGGTCACAAACTCCTGAACTCAGGCAATCTGCCCACCTCAGCCTCCCAAAGTGCTAGGATTACAGGCATGAGCCACCATACCCGGCCCATGATACTCATATTTTAAAGAGTTTTATGGAGGTATATTTGACATAACAATAAACTGCACATATTTAAAGTATACAATATGATATTTGACATATGTGAGACCATTACCACAATCAAGATAATGAACACACCCATGACCCTCAAGTTTCTTGGTGCTTCTTTCTACTCCCTCCCTCCTCCACAGCCTCATTTCCCTGGGTAATCACAGATGTGCTTTCTGTCACTATAAATGAGTTTGCATTTTCTGGACTGTTACATAAATAGAATTATACAGTATGTACTATTTTTTGTGTTGCTTATTTCATGCAGCACAGTTCTTTTGAGAGTCATCCACGTTGTTGCATGTCTCAGTATTTCACTCCTTTTTATTGCTAGGTGCGTTAAAACTATAATTGGCTTATCTATTCACTTATTGGTGAACATTCTGGTTGTTGCTCGTTGTTGGTGTGAAAATAAATAAAATTTAAAAGATGGTGGAACCAAAAAAAGCCGCTGTAAGCCTTGAGAGAGATGTGACTAATTTCAGTCACATACGATTACGACTTCTGTTCTCAGGTTATATATTAACTCACTTTCTTATTTTTCTTGTTCTATATGACTAGAAAAAAATGCCAGTGACAAAAACCTCCTGCCTTAATGACCCTTGTTATAGATTAATTTGCCCTTTATTGTCCTGCTTTGCTGAGACCAGATAACAGAAAACCCAAGCGTTACACCCCCAGTCTTGTATGAAAAGTATTGCAGTCCTGCTAAAAACTCCTGTCTCTGCCTGTATGAATGAAATCTTAAGTTTCTTACTTCAGAATGCTGACTCCATTCCTTTGGAGTCAGTGTTTCTGGGTGATGCATTCTCACTCTTTGTGCTTGAATAAACCCTCTTTAAGTTAGATTCTGACCCTTTGGTTATTTTAGGTTGACACTGACTGATAGATACAAAGCTACTATGAACAGTAAAGTATAAGAGAAAGACTGGTATAGAAGTCTTTCTGAGAACATATGCTTCCATTTTTATTAAGTACATATCTAGGAGAAGAATTACTAGAGCATATGGATAGTATATATTTAACTTTTTAAGAAATTGCCAAACGAATCTCCAAAGTAGCTATACAATTTTATTATGTTTTCATTTTTTATTGTATTTATTTTTTTGAGATGGAGTCTCAGTCTGTTGCCCAGACTGGAGTGCAGTGGCACAATCTCGGCTCACTGCAACCTCTGCCTCCTGGGTTCCAGCGATTCTCCTACCTCAGCCTTCCGAGTAGCTGAGATTACACCCCACACCGAGCTAATTTATTATTTTTTTTTATTTTTTTTTTATTTTTAGTAGAGACAAGATTTCGCCATATTGGCCAGGCTGGTCTTGAACTCCTGACCTCAGGTGATCCACCCACTTCAGCCCCCCAAAGTGTTGGGATTACAGGCATGAGCCACCACATCCAGCTTTTATTTATTTGTTTATTTATTTATTTATTTTATTTTATTTTTTTTCCTGAGATGGAGTCTCACTCTGTCGCCCAGGATGAAGTGCAGTGGCATAATCTTCCACTGCAACTTCTGCCTCCCAAGTTCAAGTGATTCTCCTGCCTCAGCCTCCTGAATAGCTGGAATTAAAAGCTGGCACCACCACGCTTGGCTAATTTTTATATTTTTTTTCCTTAACTTTTGTATTTTTTTTAGTAGAGATGGGTTTCACAACGTTGGCCAGGGTGGTCTTGGAACTCCTGACCTCATGTGATCCACCCATCTTGGCTTCTGAAAGTGCTGGGATTACAGGTGTGAGCCACCACACCTGGCCAAGCTGTACAACTTTACATTCCCATCAGCAGTGTATGAGACATTTAAGACATCCCCATCCAATTCCTTCACATCCTCGCCAATATCTGCTCTGGTCAGTCTTTTTTATTTTAGCTAATCTAATATGTGGGTAATGGTTTCTCCTTTTGGTTTTAATTTACATTTCTTCATGACTAATGACTCAGATATTTTCATGAGAAAAAAAAAAAATACCAAACCATGGAAACATACCCCACACCATATTAAAAATTTAAAATGGATCACAGACATTCATGTGCTTATAGTCATATGCTGCATAACAACATTTCAGTCAATGGACCACATACATAACCCACTAGCCCCATAAAATTACAATGAAGCTGAAAAAATCCTATAGCCGAATGACATCATAACTGTCAAACACCACGTGTTTGTAGTGACGCTGGTGTAAATACACTTACTGTGCTGCTAGTCATCTAAAAATATACCACATACAATTATGTACACTACATAATACTTGATAGTATATTTACTATACTTTTGTGGTTATTTTATAGTGTACTCCTTTTATTCATTAAAAAAAAAAAAAAAAGTTAACTCTAAAACATCCTTGTCCAGATCCTTCAGAAGGTACTCCAGAAAGCACTGTTATCATGGGAGATGAGGACTCCTTGTGGAGATGAAGACCTTCCAGTGGGACAAGATGTGGAAGACAGTGATGTTGATGATCCTGACCCTGTGTGGGCCTAGGCTTATGTGTTTGTGTCTTCGATTTTTAACAAACTTTTTAAAAGTAAAAAAATAAAAGACAGAAAAAAGGCTTATGAAATAAAGATATAATACATGTTTTACAGCTGTATAATGTGTTCGTGTTTTAAGCTAAGTGTCATTACAAAAAAGTCAAAGATTAAAAAATTAAAAAGTCTATAAAGTTACAGAAAGCTAAGGTTAACATATTATTGAAGAAAGAAAACTACTTTTTAATAAACTTAGTGTAGCCTAGGTATACAGTGTTGAGAAAGTCTACAGTACTGTACAGTAATGGCCTAGCCCTTCACGTGCACTCAGCACTCACTGACACCTAGAGCAACTTGCAGTCCCTCAAGCTCCACTCATGGTAAGTGCCTGCTGCATTTTTTTTATCTTTAATACTGCTTTGTTTTTTTATTGTTGTTTTCAGACAGTCTTGCTCTGTCACTCAGGCTGGAGTACAGTGGCTCAATCTTGGCTCACTGAAACTTCCACCTGCCAGGTTCGAGCGATTCTCCTGCCTCAGCCTCCCCAAGAGCTGGGACTACAGGCACCTGCCACCGCACCTAGCTAAGTTTTCTTTGTATTTTAGTAGAGGTGGGTTTTGCCATGTTACCCAGGGTGGTCTTGAACTCCTGAGCTCAGGAGATCCACATGCCTCAGCCTCCCAAAGTGCTGAGATAATAGGCGTGAGCCACCATCCCCAGCCTAATACTGTATTTTTACTGTACCTTTTCCATGTTTGGATACCTACTTACCATTGAGTTTCAATTGCCTACAGTATTCACTATGGTGACATGCTAAACAGGTTTGTAGCCTAGGGACAACAGGTCACACAATATAGCCTAGGTATATAGTAGGCTGTACCATCTAGGTTTGTGTAAGTACACTCTATAATATTTTCACAATGACAAAATCACCTAGTGACATTTCTCAGAATACATCCCTGTTATTAAATGACAAATGGCCATATTTTCTTGTGCTTCTACCTTCTTTGATGACGTATCCGTTCAAATCTTTTGCCCATTTTTAAAATTGAGTTGTTTTCTTATGGATTTTGAGTGTTCTATGTTCTGGACACAAATCCTTTATCAGATACGATTTGGAAATATTTTCTCCCACTTTATTGCTTTTCATTAATAGCTTTTGGAGAGAAGTTTTT